AAATGAATTGGTCATACTTTAAGGGTGGTCAGTTTGGATGAAAATAAACAGAATCGGAACAATTTGCTTCCTTAAAAGGTTGTTAAAAAATTAATATGTATATTAAGGAATAAAAGCTTTTTTTATGTAAAATGAAATTATACACTTTTACATATAAAATAAACATTGTAAAAAAACCTACCCTTAAAAAAACTCATAAAATTTCGATGGGTAAAGTCCGTAGTTAACGACTAGCAACAACACTAATTGTAAGATGTTTAGCAGAACATAGTGCCTTGTCATTTGGTATAGTCTTTCCGAAGTCAGTTAAACATGTATAAAAACGCCTAGCAATAAAATTTCATAGGCGTCCCTAAAAAAGTTTTCTGCGAAAGGTAAAAAATTATAATAATTATTTGTATACAGGGTGTTCCAGAAAGACCTTCCGTAAATTCAGGGGGTGATAGTACGACAAAAAATAAGAATTTTTTGTCATATGAACTATATGTCTATCTCTTGTTTTCGAGATACAGAGCGACAAAATAAAATTTTTTAAATAGAATTTTTACGATAATTTCCGAACGGTGCGAAATATTTTTATGAAATTTGGTATTCCGGGGTTTTTAAGGACGCCAAATACGCTACATTTCTATTACATTTTATGTTCTAATATTTTTATGGTTAGGTTTTTTACCATTCGGAACTCCAATTTCTAATGTACAATTTTATTTTCTAAAAATAATGTACTCTTGTTAGAAATTCCTAATGTGGACGGTTTTCGAGAAAAAAGGCTTTTAATTGAACCCTTACAATATTACGGTGAACAAAATGAGTGACTTTTCTCAAAGTAGGCTTATGTCAAAACTTCTCAGTAATATTTTAAACTCGAATTAACTTTATATCAAAATTTTAGTGATTGTTAGTGACTGTAGTTAGTAATAACTAATTATGACAATAGTGAAATAATATATTTTCTGTTCTATCAGTTCCTGAATTTGTGGTACCTTTTCCAAAACACCCTGTATTTCATTTTTTCCGCTATGGTCTCCAATGCACCAGCAATCATTGTACATACCGCAGCGGCACGCAATTGTGTCAGCTCTCGTATTCTATTCCTCGAACGCATCGGGAAAACGTTTATTCCTGTCTTTGCATGTATTTTCACCTGTACCAATGATTGCCACTATTTTTAACCGGAAAATCCGATTTAAAGGGAAGGTGGGAAAAAAGGATATTTTAGAGATCTCGGCCGTATTTTTACTAAATAAATCAAATAAAATAATTTAAATGTGTTCGTCGTAATCGGGAAAATTAGACGAATTAAAAACAGAAGTTGAAAGTCGCTCCTTTGTCCCCACAGGCGTCACAATTAGTACGACTACGTTTTCAATTATAAAATATAAATAAAAACCTTCACTTTTTGTGCGATAACTTGAAAATGAGAAAAGAAAGGTCAAATTTCTCTGCGGCATGTCATGAAATTCCTTAACCTTGTATACCTCGGCAGATACATAAAACAACTTTCTTGTGATAAATGTATTTGATGTTTATGTGGCTCAAGAGAAATAAATCCGAAAAGATTTTCCTTAGATGTTCTTATTTAATACTTGAAATACAACAAAAAAGATATACCTACATGTATTCGCAAAAACATTAAAGGACGCAAACAAGCCAGGTTCCTTTTGATTTGCTCTCTTAACTTAAATTTCATTATCGTTTTCTTTTAAGGTTTTACTTTCATTCAGCATTATTAAAGATAAGACACTTGAAGATAAGAATCCAGCACACAAAGATCTTGGATATCGGCTCTATTATAAGGGGCACTTTGACTCGTAACTGGCAACAAATACAGATTTATAACGTTTACAAATCTCTAATCCCTTTTAAATTACACCTTAAAAAAAGTGTACCAGTTATTAAAAATATGTACGCTCTCTGTTTCGGTTTAGGATATTCAGGAAAAAACGAATTATTTATTACTTTTCTTACTTAAATTAGCGGTATTATATTGCCCGTTTGTTCTACTAAAACAAGAAAAATTGCAGTTATAATAAATTAGAGAGAAATTTGTGAGTTCCAAAGCGCGACCAAACGGATCAATTTTGGACAGAGGCTAAAATCGTCCTGTATCTGCGGTAGTTCCTCGTACAGGGAATATCGGAGCACCCTGCCCACAAGGGCTATAGCCAAAATAAAAAATTCGTCACCCCGTACATCGCACCACTGTGATTAATCGTGTATGTGTGGCCCCTGTGGAGACGTAAAAACACATGCATACCGTAAATGTCCCCTGCTGTCCGTGCTACAGCTGCGAACAGCTAGCGAACACACGTGGGCTGCACAACACGAGCTACTCTTACTCTCCCGCGCTACTACGGATCAGGTTACAGCTTAAATTCTGAAACTCTCCAGATTAATTACCATTGTTAACTCCAAATCGGGTTGCGCGTCTTAATTTCGACCTCGAATTCGCCCAAAAACTACCGCACGTGTCCAGGTTCACCGGAATTTCTCGGCTACACTCAAAATTTAAATTCGCTCTAGGTTACGAATGTTACGATTGTAAGCGATAGCAGTTGGGGACACCCCGTAACACGATGCAGAAAATTAATCGTAGCGAAAAGAAAAATTATGTATTTATAATATTTCCAAATAAATAACAACCTATGATAATAAATAGCCGTAAAAAAAATATGTATTAAATATATACATATTGCTAACTTCTACAAAATTTATTGTAGACAGAAGGTGCATAAAAAAACTACTAAAACTAAAACTCCATAAAAAATTTCAGTTTTAATGCATTTCTTTACGGCTTTCCGTACCCCGCGAACCCCGAGGTTTTCTAAATTATCTACTGGAGTAGAATGAATTGGGCCTTTAAGGTGACTCCAAAGATAAAAATTGCAAGGATTAAGATCAGGAAAATGCAGTGGCCCAAGAATCGGTGAGTTTTAGACTAAGGTAAGTTTGGTTAAATCGTAATTTTTTATTTAAATGAAAGGTAGTTTCAATACGAGGTTTGGTTTTATTCAAAATCAGTTAAAAATTTAATTGCCCGTTTTCCAAGGTACTTGTAACGAATAACACGCCCAATAGGCTATTGATTATATCCAAAAAAACTATGACATTCAAGCAATTTTATTGCATGAATCGTTCAAAGGGTCACTTTAGATGAAAAAGTGAGTGCTATTAAATTAGAGGGTGGAAGTTGGAGGTAGGGGTGAAAATGCACCCCTTTCAGTTTTTTAATTGTAGCTCGAAAACAAAGCAAAATTTCGCTATAGTTCATAGGAAAAATTATGTAGAGAATTGAATTTCCCATCGAAATGGTATTATTTAATAAAAAAAGGAAAATTTTATGCAAAAAATCGTTAATGAACAACCAAAAAAAAGCTGTTGTTTTTACTTTTATGACTAATTTATGTTAAAAACGACGAAAATCTAAAAAATATTTAAGCTTGACCGATTATATCGATCAATAATAGTCCAAAAACTTTTGAAAACTCATCATTTTGAAGGGAATCTCATCTAATTGTTTTGTGTTTTGTTGTATTTTCTTTGCCTACTACTACTAAAAAAAACTAGTCAAAAAAAGTAAAAAAAATCAAAAAATCCTATTTTTTACATTTTTTTAAATTGTTTATTAACGACTTTTTGCATAAAATTTTTCCTATGAACTATACCGTAATTTTGCTTCGTTTTCGTGCTATATTTAAAAAACTGCAAAAGTGCATTTTCACCCCTATTTTCAATTTCAACCCTCTTTAATAGCACCACGCGGTTTTTCCATCTAAAATGGCCATTATTTTGAACAATTCATGAAATAAAATATCTTGAACGTCATAGTTCCTTTTAAAATCCTATAATCAACAGCCTACAAGAAAAATATGACCGATCTTTTCCATTTCGAAATTATCAGACAAAAACTGAAAAATCCTTATTTCCGTTTACATTCTTTCTTTTATCGAAATCGGAAAAAGGTGTTCTTTTCAAACTCGGCCGACTAGTACGCCCTAACTGCAGTGATTAGCTAATTGGACATTTCAAATGTGAACCGTTCCAGGAATTGTCATGAACGTCCAGTGAAAAATACCGCCTCAATACATAGCCTCACCTGGGCATTACGATATGGGACACGAGGTGCATGGCTGCTCCCATATAAAAAATGGAATTACATTACATCCTGACCTGCACACCCTTATCCTGATTAATGGGTCGTACCCAGTTGGGTGGAAGTCGTGCTTTCTGGAAGGGACAGGGTCACCCCTACACGCTATCTAATCTCTAGGTGGTCGTATCTTCTTGTTCTAATTTCCATTCGAATTCCGTCGCAAACCAAACCGCGCGTTTCGCCAAAACGGCCCCCAATTATCTCCTAATATTTCCAAAACGCCCAGTACACAAAAAATGGCGGTTATCTTTTTATACGTAATTAATAAGCATTTTAAATCATCAAAATGGCGTTTCAAATTAATAATAATCAAAATTGTTAAATCTCTGCAATTGTTCTGAGTTACATGGCTATCATTGGCGTGTTGTCCGCTTCTTGTCTTACGATTTCCGCTCATCTGAATTTGCTGGTAACTACGAGTACCTGATCATCTTTATGTACAGATTTTCAAATAGGCATACACAAACAATTGCAAACAGAGATAAAACTATCGGTGGATTCAGCGGTTCCAAAAAAGTTTACATCGTATCAATGAGGTAAGTCAGTTATTAGATTTAAGGGATCTCCGTCACTATGTCATCTATATTTTTTTAGTTTTATCTCATTTCTTTAAATTTTTAAACAATATTGATCTCCAGACTGTCACAGAAAAAACAAGTAAACTGAACCGTTTTGGAGCAATTCAAGTAATTTAACAAGTATATCTCCCTCATTATTCATTTTCAGGAAAAGGTTTACATAAAAAGACGTCCTTATTTTTTTAATATATTACGCGCCCAAAAATATCAGGAAACTATTTAGGATTAATTAGTTATTTTCTAATAATTATAGTTGAAAATAGTCTTACCTTTAATAAAAATATAGACATGTCCATCATACAACAGCACAAAAACCTGCAAGAGAAAAAAAAATAAGAAAAAATGCGGTTGAGAATATATGAAATTATCTGAATAAATATAGTATTTTTAGTAGGTACTACCGATTTCTTTAATTATTCTAGTTTTATAGTCGGCATAATATTAAAGTGTGAAGTTCCAATAAGGACATTTACCCTTAAATTTTACAAGCTGCTTTTTGTTAAAACGTAGAAAATAAAACAAGTATACATGTATACTTAAATAAACCGATAGATGGTGAAAAGTTACATAGACGGAGTAAGTGTGCGAGATAGCTACAAGACATTGAGGGAAATTAATCCTATGAAAACTACTAATTTAGCACATTCTCTCGTGCATTGCCAAATACTGAAGCTATCTAGCTTTTTGCCTATTTGAAGGTTAGCACGTGTTCAACTTATTGATATTAAAAACGAAGTTTACGATGAGGTAACTACAGCAGGTGCTGTTTCCCCTTCTAATATTCTCTAGAGCCGCATTAGTAGGCACGTTATTCACATAATTTCACCATGCTAGGCTAGCTTAGCATCGTACCATATGCTTTCAGCCATGCATGCATTACTGAAAACTGAAATAGTAACCCCCACTACCCGAAACCAGACATGTGACTTGTTACTGTAAAAACAGTGGCGTGTCTAACAATTTTTTAAAAACTCGATTGCCGATGCTTCGCAAAGTTCATTATTACTATAATTATTATTTTATTTTATTATTACCGATTTAATTCTATATTCATGTTCAAGAAAGGTAATAGGAAATTATTTTAAACGAAAAGTAACAACTGTAAGTGGATAAATCGTATCTAAGTTATGAAATGTGCGATTTTTTTTTACTGAAAATCGATAAAGCGTGACGATTTACTTCTTTTAGAAAGAGATGTTGCTTTGCCTTGACAATGTAATACTCCGTCCACCGTTCCATTATTATTAACCAAGATGCAGATATTTTAAGCATTCGTATAAAAACAAACAGCACTTTTTATAATTTCACAACGTACGAAATCCAAATATAAATACATTTTTTTAAAAAGCTGCCAACGTAAAATCGTTGATGGTTAAAAAGTAACCGATTTAAAATAAAAATTCGATGTACCTACCTACTAGTATTATCAATATCAATCGAAACTCTTATCTTTCAATTCATATATGTCACATTTAATGTAACAACGAATTCTACACAAACCCATATCATCCAAATATACATATTTAAGTTTGATAACTTGTTAAAAAATATATTCTCTATGTAAATTGAGATTCAAGGTCAATGTTGGGCAAACACTGACTTCGATTATTAATGCATATTTTAAATTTTGTTCATTTGATAAAATGGTGCAAATAGCAAAAACGTTTAAGGAAATTAGGTACTACGATCGATTTACTTTAGAATTTCGTTAAACGTTTTATTAAAAATCAATGCACAATAAGTAAAAATGTACAAGGAAATATTATTGAAACACTTACATCAGCTTTTTATGTTTTGTGATACAAGTTAAACTTGCGATGACCTGAATTGTGATAAGAATAGGATTGATTTATATTAGATGTTGTTCTTATTTTTTACACTTTCTTTATTTTGCGACTCACAATCAAAGTATTGCTTTGTAAAACCAGACGGTTGTTTATTATTTATTTACATTTTATTACAGTTAAGAGTAATTGCTTTAAATTTTATAAAAATTATGTATCATGTTTAAAAAATGCTTAACATTTTCAGCTGAACTGTAATTGTTTTAAATTGTCTAGATTCTGTATCCAGAGACTAAGGATTAGTCTAATTTTTTAAAAATTAAATAAAAAAATGTACAAATTAGCCACCGGTCCAGAACTTCGTCCACATCACCCGGTAAATTAAGTTTATTTTTGAACCAGTCAAACTGCTGTAATTGGAAATATTGATTTGGAAATGATAATGTGTACTTCTATCTTTAGTACTTGGTTCCCATGTAAATTATCAATGTATAACGCTTACATTGATCTTACCGCGATAACGTCAAAAGTATTGTATAATTGAGTAATTCTGACAATCTAAACTGCGTTCAGAATACGTTCAGAGTAGATCGATCACAAGGTGGTTTTTTGTTAAATTGAAATAACACTGAAATCGTATCGATACTGCTTTTTAATCTAAAATATTAATTGTTTGTACATGGTAATTTATAATACCTGTTTTTGTGACAAAATTGTATACTCCCACAATTAAACAGAAAAATAAGAAATGTAGGTAAATTTTCAGTTGTTCTGTTGTACATCGTCACGCTGAAGGCGCCTAAGATTAAATTGACTTAATGTTTATAGGAAGAAGCATGGTGTCATATATGTAAATGAACTTCCGTTAAATTAATACACACTTTGCATTATACAATTCAATTTTTATTTATTTTCATAAATGATTCGCATTTGTTTTAAAGACTTCATCATATCTGCGATAAATATATCAAAAATCCCTGTTAAAAATATAAAGAATTTTTAAAAGTGAATGAAGCCAGGTATTTGCGTTCTAATTAACCTTTAAAGTCCTTGTAAAGGTGTTAAAATTTATGATTTAGCCAGTGGTATTATGAAATGTTAGCTATATATTTATCCAAACAATAATTTATGGGTAAGAAATAATATAGAATTTCTAAAGTTCTTGGTGGTTTGGTTTTTAATTTTAACGAAGGAAAACAAAATGTTAATAAATACAAAACGCTTTGTAATTGGAAGTATTATATGTTCTCGAAACGAAAAGAAATTTACGTGAGACGATACGCGAATCAGTAAAATGTTAGTGTAGGAACAGTGTTTACAAACAACTATAAAATAGGAATTATGAAATAGCCAAGGAACACGCGCAATGGGCAAAGCACGTGCTTTCCTAGGCGAACACCGGTGCAAGCTAGGAAAGGTACGGCAGAGCAGGAGCAGGAAGCCAAAGAAAAGAGGGCCCTGAAACCAGAGCTTCCTTAAGCTTTTCCTGTAAATCTGAATTTCAGCCAGAATTCCTGCAACCCGCACAACTCGCAGAATCAAGCTCCATCTGTTGCTATCCTGATACATCTTTTAAATGGAAAAATTGGTATTCTTTCCTAATTATTGTTTATATTGCTAGTAAGGGTTTCGTTTTATTTTCTTTAGCCGGCGATAACCGATACAACCTGTTTTGCTACTGGCAGAGGATGTAGATTATTTTTAAGGCGAGTTTTATTGTAAAACGCGAATATTAATTATGCCAAGCCAGTTGGGAGAATAATTTGCGAAAATGTGACTTGTAACCGAACATACTGTTAATTGGATGAGATGTAGCCAGTAGCGGTTGATTCCCATGCAGCCACAGTAATTATTTGAAAACATAAATATTGTTGGTGTCTCGTATCTGGCGCGCGCTGGGCACGGGGTCACAGGTCGCAGGATAGCCAACCGGGACATTAATACGATATGAAGTAAGAAGCTGATGATATTTTTTAGCAATTGAGTTAATAATTACGTGAATTATATATTTGAATAGTTGACCTCTATTGGCCTTTTGCAGTCTTTGCGTAAAAGACCTTCAATGTCAACATTAATACGCTGTTGAAGGCCAGTAAGCACGTTAATGAAATCAAACGGGGAACAGGGTAACTGAAACCGTCCCAGGGCGAAACGACAGTAGCACATTAAAATAACATATTTTAAGGTTTCAAACTTACGCCAAATTTAGCGCTGCACACATCAATCACAAAACATAAGACAGTCCGAAGAGACACTTGCGCGGATACATGACACTACTAGCCAAGTTACAAGTGCACTGGGCCCCCCCCCGCTCACTGATAGCGCCGCTCCGTCAGGCATACACTGTGACGTCAACCGCTATTGATTCTAGAGAACAGCAATGGCGAATTGGCAACAATCAACAATCGGGTACTGCTTGACGAGCTACATTCTATATAATATTGTTTTGGTACTACGATCAAGGCTTTCCGAAATACGACTACCTATGCGCAATGTGTTGTCTCCAATTTTTAATGCTTAACGGAGCCACAACGCTTCCCGGTGATGTCATTATGACATCACGTTTAACAGGCTTGGGGCGAAATTGAGACCTTGATTCTAGTCGGTCTGTTGGGGACCTTTCCGCTTATATGTATTTGTCTTCTCGCAGAACAAATTCTAACACGTCTGCTAGCATCACTTTTTTTTTCGAATAACAGAATATTTTTCAAACCACAATAGGCGTCCAAATACTATCAATCAAACTTTACAGGCTGCGATAATACTTAAAAATTATTTTCTTAACATAAGAAATTAATTTAAACTCGTAAACATGTGAATCAATCAACAAGTGTGCTAATTCACGTGACAGTTTGTCCCCTGATTTGCTGCAACTCAACACACATGTTTGCATTATACCAAGATTACATTCACGTTCCGTTAAATAAGACCAAGTTAATTGAAACGGCTTATATTTCGCTTTATTGCCGTTTTAATTTAATTGCAATTTTAATTAATTTTCCACACCACATTACTTCTTTAATAAAATACGAAATAAATGCTACTTGCATTGGCTGGTTACTAAGTGTAATTTTGGGATAAATTCCATAAAAAATAATACAAATTTTGAACAAAGGAAAATAATAAATTCATTCTAATATCAAAATTATAAAACCAATTTAATAATGTCATCCATATTTATTAACAACTCACTAAGCAAAGTAAAGCAACAAAGCATCTAGCAAGTTGGTTGTTGGTGCCAGTTGCCATTAAAATGCCTATGATAGTGTATTGTGGAAATAATCCGGCAAGGGAGATTTTTTTGGAATTACTTCAGAATTAATACTCTTAGCATGTGAGAGGCAAAAGGTTTGGCTCAAAATAATCTAATGTATTTAATGTTTAACTTGATTAGTTAGGCAACATGTTTCCTTAAATTTTAAAAATTTTAAATTTTTCGACAACTTTTGAGATGTATTAAAAAAAATTTTTTAGTTTTGTATAACCTGATGATGAGGTGTAATCTTGTCCTCGAAACTAGTGGTCGTATGTAATTAATTTTACAATAACGGATTGTGAGTCGACGATTTTTTTATATTCCCACTGATGAATGAACTCAATTATTTATTTCACGTTTAACCATATTATGTTATGTATTATTTGTTTTTTGTAGGTCTGTACTCTTGGAAAGCTTTGTTTTTTCTCTATTGTATATTTCTGGTATTTATGAATTCAGAACCATTTTTTTTATACCTACTAAAAAGTTTTTTTTTAGTTTTTTTTTGACTGCTACTTTTTTCACCCACCCACATGCAGCTTTACACGTAAATTCCTCCAATATTAAAGTACTTTTATTATAAAGAAGGTAATTTTTATATGTATATGTTAGTTTGAGAAAAATTTATTATTAGGTACTGCATTTTATTACATATTTAGCTCATATTAATAATTATTATACACATATAATTTAATCGGACCAGAACATTGTATTCACAAAATATAACGAATATTCACAAAGAATAATAATAAACATGTAAAATATTTGCAAATATGTTTCTTTATTTTTTAAAAAGATCATTAATACGCCCTGTG